TCCTGCCTGTAAAGTCCTGGCCTATTTCGAGGAAGTGTTTCATCGCCAGGCGCAGCGCCTCGGTCGGCAGTGACTGCACCCAGGTCGGGTCCTTGTCTGGCCCCTCAGTCTTCTCGAAGAACTTGAGCGGCGAGTCGAGGTATTGCCTCGCCATGACCATGACTTTTCTCTCGGCGGCGTTCTCCTGCGTGTCTGTTGTTTCAGCGCTGTTGCAGCCAGTGCTCCCTTTGAACAAGTCTGGGCACTGTCTCAGAAAGTTCGCCACGTATTTCTTCGCCCACAAGATCTCGCCCACTGCCTGGCCGATGGTGGAGGCGCTGCACGGGTCCTTCACGCTCTTCCGCCACATCCGCGTGCACAGGCTTTCCAAGACGTGCCCCAGCGAGGTAGCGTCCGTCTTCGCGATGATCGTCCCAAGCTGTGTGGGCCTGTCCAGCAGATTGTCTCGCCCCCAACGGTTCACGGCGGCATCCAAAAACAGCAATGCCCCCGGGAACCTGTCGAGAGCGAGCCAGTAGACCATGTGCGTCTTGACGGTCCTCAGGCTGGGGCAGTGCAAAAGTCCCCACTTTATGTTTTTCTCCAACCACGCCTGCACCTTCTCTGCCGAGGGGTTCCCGCCAGCTGGACCGCCGCTCTTCAAGATTTCCGCTGCACGTGCCACGACGCGCAGGAGGTTCTGGTTCTCGAGCCCGAGGAAATCGCGCAGGCGCTCGGTGCGCGAGCTCTGGTTGACAGACCACTTGAACTTGTTCTCCTCGACCTCCTCAGCCGCGCGCCCCGGGATCTGCGCGAAATCGATGGGCCAATCCAGAATCGAGTCCTCCACCGCTTCTACGGCCTGCCTGTTGCCTTCCTCTTTCGCCCAGTAGTAGGCCAGCCAGACAGCGTCGGCCACGACGTCACAGCCCAAACGCTTGAACTTGCCGATCTCGGGCAAAGCGGTCTGGTTCACGTTGGTGATCATGATGGGGATCTCGAGCCCTTTCTCAACCTGCTTCGGGATGTTCCAACGCCTGCCACCCTTGACCTGGCTTAGCGTCTCCACGACGCGCCGCTGTGGGTTACCCTGGGCTGTGCACTCGACGTCGCCAACGCCCTCGTGAGAGTCGTTCGCTGTTTCAGCCGCGTCGTCCGTCGGCACGTTCCGCATGAACATGTCCGCAGCCACGTTCTCCACCTTGCCCGCCGTGATATTCCCCCCCAAGAAACTGTTGTCGATGGGCGCCGTGCACGCCAGGTTCAGATAGGCATTCCTGCGCTCGCCCTTCTCCTTGCGCTCTTCGATGATATTGGCGAGTTTCTCCTGCAATGGAGTCCTTTCCTTGCTAGCCTTCTTCGACGTCTTCTTCGACTGGTCCTCCTGCGACGTGTCTGGCTTCTCCCTCTTCGCCTGCGCGGCCCTCTCGGCGACGCGCTTCGGCATGGTCTTGAGAAGCCGTTTGAAGTCAGTCTCGATGAGGGGGAAAACCTTGTCGGCCCAGAAGTCCTTGAACGGCTGCGCCGCGGCGCCGCTCATCGCGCTCAGGCGGGCTGTTTCAGCTGCGGGCTGGCCGTTCCACCTCGCGCGCCTGTTGCAGGTCGGGCTGGAGCCGCGGTGGGAATGGAATTGGGCAATGGAAGAAGAGGGGCCGTTGTAGCCGATGGAACGTCCAGAGGGCGCATAGGAAGCAGAGCGAAAATGGCCGCAATCAATGCTAGACGAACTCAAGGATGTCGGAAGTCGCCCATTCCCTCGAAGCAATGCGAAGATTGATGCATTTTCAGCGAGCGAGGGCGCCAAGAGCCTGTCGAGTTCCCCCCAGATGGCCTACCAGCTCTTGATGGGTGGGCCCAGAGATTTTGCAAGACCCCAACGGCACCAAGAAATTCTAACTACCCTAAGGGCCTCAAGAGGAGATCCCAGAAATTCTATCTCCCCACAGGGCCTCAAGAGAGATTGCCAGAAATTCCTCGCCCCTCAGGGCGTCAAGAGGAGATCCCAATCTTCAACGCACTCATTTTTTGAGTCCTAGTAGATCCAGAACCCCATAAATCTGTTATGTTTTCGAGATTCGCTGCCAGGCCGAAGGTTTCGACTGACTGCGCTAGCCGATAGAACAGAGAACAGCTACAGCGCGCCCCCCCCCCCCCCCGCCCTCGCGGCGGACAGCGTCGGATAATTCATGTAGTCGGGGGGGGGGAAGCCCTGGGGGGCCCTGGAGCCATGGGGCGTTGATCCGATCGGCATAAGCCCGACACTTGCGCAAACGTCCAGTGGTGCCAGTGGGGGGGGGGGGGCGCGCCGCGGGACGGGGGATGAGACGGCGCGCATGCTGCAGCCCGCACGGCCTCGCATGGAGCGCGCGCGCGGCATCGGGCCGACGGACCGTGGGAAGCAGCCGCGGGGGCGGCGTCCTGCAGGGCACAGAATGCAGATGAGGCCTAAGGATTAAGGGCGAGTCGGGTCGGGTCGTCGTCGCGTCGTCGTCGTCGTCACGGTCGTCGTCACGGTCGTCAAAATCTCTGATCATATCGCCTCGCCCCCATCTCCCCCCCCCCCCTCCCCCCATCTACTCCAACGCGCGGCGCGTGGCGGGCCCTCACCACGCTAGCAGCCCGCAAAATCGCGGTTAGTTTTGGGGTGGTGGCCGACGCGCATGTGAAGAAGGTTGCGCCTGCCATAGTGATCACTGCGGATCCCTGAACAGGGCGCGCAGAGCTTCCTGGAACATACACGCTCAGAGAAGCCGCCGCATACGGTGCAGATGTCAACGCTGCGATAGCGGGCCATCACGCGGCTGCTGCGGCACCCGAGCGCGCCAGCCGCGAGGGGCAAGATCCGGCGGAAGTGCGGTGCGATCCACGGCGCAGTGGCTGGCCAGCCGAAGTCGTTGGCCTCAGACCCCTCGGGCACCTCCAAGGCATGCCCCGCTGGTGCCGGCGGAGGCAGCCCAGGCTGCCCAGGCTGCGCAGCGACAGGAGGAGGCTGCCCAGCGGCAGCGACAGGAAGTGCTTGGGGTGGGAGTGGGAGTGCGGCCCCGGCGCCACCCGGAGCTGCAGCGGCGCCCACAGGGCCTGCGGCTGCAGCGCCACCACCGCCAGCAGCTGGCACATGAACCGCATGCTGGAACACGGCGGCGGCCCCCGGGGCGCGCTGGTCGTCGCCGCCGCCGCCCGCCACGACACGACTCCATCTCCATTGATGGTCGCACCGCCCACCACGACTCCATCTCAATTGATGGTCACGCGAAGCTGGAGCTGGATGTGAATCGTCGTCGACGGCCCGGATGCTGCCATCGCGGCCATCGCGGCGAGCGTCGACGCCGCGTCGACGCCTGAGTCCGAGGCGGGGGGGGGGGTCGCCTGCTCAGGCTGAAGAGGAGTACAGCCGAAACACTCGACCTTCGCACTGCAGACGGCTGAGGCTGAGGCAGCGACGCCGACGGACGGTGACGACGACGACGGGTCACGGGCTATGGGCCGCCGGCCACGGGGGAGACCGTCGGACCGTCGGGGGGCGCCGCGCGATGACTCATCTGCGAGGGCCCTCCGTCGGGAGGCCCCTCGACCTCTCGCCCCCCCCGACGGGAGTCGACAGCCAGGGCCCGCGAATCCGAAGTGTGAAGTGCGAGAGGGCCCCAGCAGGGAGGAGGACGATTAGGATGAGGATCAGGATGATCAGGATGAGGATGATGAGGATTTTGACGAGGAGTCTGACCCTGGGGAGCCCTCGGACCTCGGACCTCCGATGAGGGGAGTGGTGGGGCAGGGGCGGGGGGCATGAGAAATGAGGAGGCGAGGGCGACAAGGGGGCGGGCGGCGGAGGGGCAGGAAGAGGAGAGGAGCAGAGAGAATGGGGAGGAAGGGCCTTGCAATTTGGCAATTGGGTCCTTCCGGGATTCGCATGGCGCCCCCCCTTCCTCACCCCCCCCCCACTGGGCCCCCCGCTGCTCCTCTACCCCTCCTCCACCCCCGTCCCGCTGAGGCCGCCTCAGGCCCGAGGACTCCTCGTCCGCCGGACTCATCCGCAATCCCCATCCGCATCATCCCTGGTCCACTGGTCGGCCCCTCGCGGACGCGAAGCGGGATGGGCGGGGCGCTGTGCGTTTCCGAAGCGGCGCCGGGAAGCGGGCCAGAGCCGCGCCGGAGCTCTAACATCGCATGTTCGAGCTCCAATGGAGCTCTAACATAGCATGTTAGATTATGTAAGAGCTCCGTGGGAGCTCTAACATCGCATGTTAGAACTCCGTGGGAGCTCTGAGGCGGCGGCGGCGGCGGCGGCGGGTAGGTTAGAGCTACCGGGGGGCTCTAACATAGCATGTGAGAGCTCCCAGGGAGCTCTAACATGCTATGTTAGAGCTCCCATGTTAGAGCTCCCTGGGAGCTCTAACATACCGAGCTCCAACGGAGCTTTAACATAGTATGTTAGAATATGTTAGAGCTCCATGGGAGCTCTAACGTGGTATGTTAGAGCTCTGCGGGGGCTCTAACATGCTCTAGCATGCTATGTTAGAGCTCCCAGGGAGCTCTAACATGGCTTGTTAGAGCTCCAACGGAGCTCTAGCATAGCATGTTTGAGTATGTTAGAGCTCCCTGGGAGCTCTAACATGGTATGTTAGAGCTCTGTGGGAGCTCTAACGTGGCATGTTAGAGCTCCCAGGGAGTTCTAACATGGTATGTTAGCCTTGAGCTCTAACACAGGATGGTAGAGATCCCTTGAAGCTCTATCATGTCATGTTAGAACTCCCATAGAACTCTAACATGCTATGTACGAGCTCCTTGGGAGCTCGAACGTGCTATGTTAGATTTCGATGTGAGGGTTGTGAACTCTAACATGCTATGTTAGAGCTCGATGGGAGCTCTAGCATAGCATGTTAGAGCTCCCATCGAGCCGTCCCCCCCGCCGTCGTCGTCGTCGTCGCCGTCGTCATCGTCGTCGTCCCATCGGCCCCCCGCCCCCCTCCTTTTAAGCGCACATAAGGAAACATGTCCGGACACGGCGGCACTCTCGCACGCACCGTTGCCCTGTCCTCGACCTCGAGAACGAAGGCTTCCCCCTTGAAAGGCGGGGGCACAGGGGTGGGGCCCCGTCTTCGACCACGGTGAAACATGGGGGTGGGGCCCTGTCTTCGACCACGGTGAAACATGAATAGGGTGCGGCCCTCCCCGCCCTCGCGGGGCGGCCTTGCCCCCTGGGGCGCGGTCGGGGATCAGGGGCGGAGGGGATCCAGGAGCTTCTGAAGTAGGACTAGAAGGTGGGGAGGAGGGGGAGGAGGAGAAGGAGGAGGAGGAAGGCTTCACCGCCCTCCACGCACCGCCGACTTTCATCATGTATCTGTCCCGTGCTGGCGAGCTCTTCACTGAGAAAGTACCCACTCCTGGCAATATGAAGACGCGCTTCTCGTTGAGCTCCGTAATGAGTGCTATGGCCAGCGATTGAAGCATGGCCGCCGTGGCAACCAAGTTGGCGCCGCTCCCAACCGATATCCTCTTCGTCAACGCCTGAGGGGGGATCGATTTATGGCCGTGAGCGCGGCATACCGCGATTCGCTCTTGCCACGGAGGTTCAAGACCTTCGGGGCCATCGGAAAGAAAGGCGGCAGGCTCTCGATAGAGCAAACTCGCCAACAACTTCTCGAGCCAAGCGAGACTACATACAATCAGATGGTGGGGACCAGGAAACTGGAAGACTAGAGAGCGGTTGTGGATACGTCAGGCCAGGGTCAGGATGGGCATTGGAAGAGCTTACTGGGGGGGGCCCAAGGATGAGCCAGCACAGGAAGGCCTCAGCATAATTGCGCGAGGCTGCTGCGAGAAGCCTGATGGGGACTGTGACAAGGGAGCGCGGCGGCACGCCGCTGTGAGAAGACTTATACGACAGCGCTACCCGTGTGAGAAGCTACTGCCGCAGGCAGCGGCCCGCGAGAGGTCACTCGGTCATCCTTCTTCGTGTGGTAGCTTGGTTTATTATGGTAGGTTGGTTGCTTATGGTAGCTGGGTTTTCTAGGGTAGCTTGGCTTCTCTTGGTAGTTTGGTTCATTATGGTAGCTGGGTTTCTTATGGTAGATTGGCCTATCATGGTAGTTTGGTTTCTTTATCTGGCATCTGTCCTGACATGTTCGGGCCCCCACGGAGCTCCAACATGCGGTGTTGGAGCTCCCAGGGAGCTCTAACATGACATGGTAGAGCTCCCACGGAGCTCTAACACGCATTGTTAGAGCTCCCAGGGGGTTCTAACTTAATCTAACATGCTATGTAAGAGCTCCCTTGGAGCTTTAACATGCGATGTTAGAGCCCCCATGGAACTCTCACATAATCTAACACGCTATGTTAGAGCTCCCAGGGAACTCTAAAATAATCTAACATGCTATGACAGGGCTCCGTTGGAGCTCTAACATGTCATGTTACAGCTCCCTGGAGCTCGAACATGCCATGTTCGAGCTCCCTCGGCGGAGCTCTTACATGAACTGCTATAAACTTTGAATGTGCACGTTGTGGAGTTATTTTTGTTTCGGGTGAGGGGGTCGGGGAAGAACGCGGTGATGCAAGGCATGGGGGCTCGAACATGCCATGTTAGAGCTCCCTGGGGGCTCTAACATACCCGCCGCCGCCGCTGCCGCCGCCGCCCCTCAACCGTTTCACAATCGAGTGCCGCCCCTCAACCGTTTCACATAGCATGTCAGAGCTCTTTGGGAGCTCTAACATGGTATCACGTGCCACGTTAGAGCTCTCAGGGAGCTCTAGCATGGTTTGTTAGAGCTCCCTGGGAGCGCTAACACGCTACGTTAGAGCTCCCTGGGATCTCGAACATGCTATGTTAAAGCTCCATGCGAGCCCTAATCGTCATCATCATCATCATAATCATCATCGTCGTCGTCGTCAGCATCATCATCATCATCATCGTCATCGTCATCATCATCGTCGTCGCCGCCATCATCATCATCATCATCAGCATCGTCGTCATCATCATCGTCATAATCATCATCACCCTCATCATCATCGTCATCATCACCATCATCATCGTAACCAGCATCCCCCCATGGCCCATGGCCCTCCTCCTGCTCACCCTTTGTCCTGCTATCCTGCTCCTCCTGCTCCTCAACCTCCTCCTTCTCCTCCCCCTCGCGCCCCCCCCCCCCCCCCCCCCCCCCTGGGCCTGGACGGGGCGCCCCGCGGGTAGTTAGAGAGCCCAAGATGGCCCAAGACGGCTCCAAGAGCGCCTCGGAGAGCCCAATATGACCTCCGAGATGCTTCAAGATAGCCTAAGATGCCTCAAGATGGCCCCGAAGATTCTCCAAGGGGCCCCAAGAACGCTCCAAGACGGGTCCAACAAGCCTCGGAGACCTCCAAGGAGGCCCCCAATATGCCAAAATCTGTTCAAAAACTTACAGAAAATATGTGATGTGTGCCTTCTCGCTTTTTTGCTTCCGATGACCATCCGGGGCCCCAAGATGGCTCCAAGATGGCCCAAAAGGGCCCCAAGAGGGGACCAAGAGAGCCCCAATACGGCCCAAGAGCGCCCAAGAGCGCTCCAAGAGCGCCCCAAGAGGGGTCCAGGGGGCTATCTTGCGGGTTCCCGAGGGGCAGGGCGATTTGAGGGAACCCCCTTCGTTGATCGATTTCCCTCACATGGTAGAGCTCCCAGGGAGCTCTAACATGGCATGTTAGAGCTCCCAGGGAGCTCTAACATGGCATGTTAGAGCTTCAGGGAGCTCGAACAAGCTATGTTAGATCTCCCTGGGAGCTCTAATATAGGATGTTAGAGCTCCCGTGGAGCTCTAACATGCTATGTTAGAGCTCCCGTGGAACTCTATCATGGCATGTTAGATCTCCCATGGAGCTCTAACGTGCTATGTTAGAGCTCCCACGGAGCTGTAGCATGCGATGTTAGAGCCCCCAGGAAGCTCTAACATACTCTAACATGCTATGTTAGAACTCCGTGGGAGCTCTAACATGCCATGTTAGAGGTCCCTGGGGGCTCTAACCTACCCGCCGCCGCCGCCGCCCCTGAACCGTTTCACAAGCGATTGCGCAACGGTTAAGGCCCCCCCCTCGCCAAGGGGGTCTTAACCGTTGCGCAATCGATTTGCGAAACGGTTAGGCGCTCCGCCGCCGCCGCCGCCGCCGCCGCCCCTTAAACGTTTCACAATCGATTGCGCAACGGTTAAGACCCCCTCTCGCCAGGGGGGGTCTTAACCGCAGCGCAATCGATTGTTGAACGGCTAAGCGCCGCAGCCGCCGCCGCCGCCGCCGCCGCCCCGTGACCGCTTAACCGCGCCTCAATCGATTGCGCAACGGTTAAGACCCCCCTCTCGCCAGGGGGGGCCTTAACCGTTGCGCAATCGATTGTCAAACGGTCAAGCGCCCGCCGCCGCCGCTGCCGCCGCCGCCCCTTAACCGCGCCTCAATCGATTGCGCAACGGTTAAGACCCCCCTCTCGCCAGGGGGGGGGCTTAACCGTTGCGCAATCGATTGTGAAACGGTCAAGCGCCGCCGCCGCCGCCGCCGCCGCCGCCGCCGCCGCCGCCGCCCCTTAACCGTTTCACAATCGATTGCGCAACGGTTCAGACCCCCTCGCCAGGGGGGGTCTTAACCGTTACGCAATCGATTGAAACGGTTAAGCGCCGCCGCCGCCGCCGGCCCGCCGCCGCCGCCGCCGCCCCTCAACCGTCTCACAAGCGATTGCGCAAACGGTTAAGGCCCCCCCCTCGCCAGGGGGGGGCCTTAACCGCTGCGCAATCGATTGTGAAACGGTTAAGGCCCCCCGGTTAAGACCCCCTATTCGGAGAGGGGGGTCTTAACCAGGATCCGATCGATCGCGCAACGGTTAAGACCCCCTCCTCTCGCCAGGGGGGCAGCCTTAACCGTTGCGCAATCGATTGTGACGCGGTTGAGGGGCGGCGGCGGCGGCGGCGGCGGCGGCGGAGCGCTTAAAACCGTTTTACAATCGATCGCGCAACGGTAAAGACCCCCCCCGGCGAGAGGGGGGGGGCTTAACCGTCGCGCAATCGATTGCGAAGCGGTTGAGGGGCGGCGGCGGCGGCGGCGGCAGCGGCGGAGGCGGCGGCGCTTAACCGTTTGACAATCGATTGCGCAACGGTTAAGCCCCCCCCCCCCTGGCGAGAGGGGGGGGGGGTCTTAACCGTTGCGCAATCGATTGCGAAACGGCAAAGGGGCGGCGGCGGCGGCGGCGGCGGGTTAGAGCTCCCAGGGAGCACTAACATAGCAAGTTAGAGTATGTTAGAGCTCCCTGGGAGCTCTAACACCGTATGTTAGAACTCCGTGAGGCCTCTAACATGTCATGTTATAGCTCCCTGGGAGCTGACAGATGTAATGTAAGAGCTCCCAGGGAGCTCCCTGGCACCTCTAACCTAGCATGTTAGACCTCCCAGGGAGCTCCAACATGGCATGATAGGAGCTCCTGGGAGCTCTAACATGTTACGTTGGCACTCCCAGGGAGTTCTAACATGGCATGTTATATGATGTTAGAGCTCCCTGGGAGCTCTAAAATCGTATGCTAAAGCTCTCAATGGAGCTCTAACGTAGCATGCTATATTATGTTAGAGCTCCCCGGGAGCTCTAACATCGCATGTTAGAGCTCCGTGGGAGCTCGAACATCGTATGTTAGAACTCAGTGGGACCTCTAACATGTCATGTTATAGCTCCCTGGGAGCTGAAACATGTCATGTAAGAGCTCCCAGGGAACTCCCTGGCACCTCTAACCTAGGGAGCTCTAACATGGCATGATAGAGCTCCAGGGAGTTCTAACATGTTACGTTGGCACTCCCAGGGAACACTAACATGGCATGTTAGAGCTCCAACGGAGCTCTAACATAGCATGTTAGAGCATGTTAGAGCTCCCTGGGAGCTCTAACATCGTATGTTAGAGCTCCAATGGAGCTCTAACATAGCACGCTAGATTATGTTAGAGCTCCCTGGGAGCTCTAACATCGTGTGCTAGAGCTCCGTGGGAGCTCTCACACGGCGGCGGCGGCGGCGGGCAGGTTAGAGCTCCCATGTTAGAGGTCCCTGGGAGCTCTAACATACCGAGCTCCAGCGGAGCTCTGACATGCTATGTTAGAGCTCCCAGGGAGCTCTAACATGGCTTGTTAGAGCTGCAACGGAGCTCTAACATAGCAGGTTCGAAGATGTTAGAGCCCCCTGGGAGCTTTAACATGGTATGTTAGAGCTCCGTGGGAGCTCTAGCATGGCATGATCGAATTCCTGGCCTCCTCGTCGGAAGCGCCCCCCTCGACTGGCTGGGACTCGGGCTGGTTTAGGTTGAGGGTGTGAATATTTCCTGTTGTTTGATTTTTTTTGATTGTGATTATGACGATGTCCTGTTTTTTCGGATTGTGATGATGACGATGCTTCTGACGATGATAATGACAGTTTCGAATGGCGACTATCCGATCGTATATCTACAATCAGCATCATCTCCATCACCATCACCACCATCATCCATCACCATCATCACCACCATCATCACCATCATCATCATCACGGCGACGACGACGACGATGGCGGGGGGATGGCATGCGGACGTGCCCAATGGGACGACAACGGCGACGACGACGACGACGGCGGGGGGGGACGGCTCGATGGGGGCTCTAACGTGCTATGTTAGAGGTCCCAATCGAGTATGGGAGGCAACTCTAACATGCTGTTAACATAGCAAGGTAGAATATGGTGGAGCTCCTTGGGAGTCCTGACATCGTATGTTAGAACTCCGTGGGGCCTCTAACATGTCATGTTATATATAGCTCCCTGCGAGCTGAAACATGTGATGTAAGAGCTCCCAGGGAACTCCCTGGCACCTCTAACCTTGCATGTTAGACCTCCCAGGGAGCTCTAACATTGCATGTTAGAGCTCCCTGGGAGCTCACACATAGCACGTTAGATTATGTTAGAGCTCCCTGGGGGCTCTAACATCGCATGTTAGAGCTCCAGTGGAGCTCTGTAATAGCATGTTAGATGATGGTAGAGCTCCAATGGGGCTCCAACATCGTATGTTAGAGCTCCGTGGGAGCTCTAACATGATATGTTAGAACTCCGTGGGACTAACATCGTTATAGCTCCCTGGGGGCTGGGCTCTTCCCCACAGGGCCTCAAGAGAGACTGCCAGAAATTCCTCGCCCCTCAGGGCCTCAAGGAGATCCCAATCTTCAACGCGCTGTTTTTTTTGCAGTTCCCATAAATCTCTTACTCGTTCGTTTGCCCGCTGCACGGGCGCACCGCGTCAGCGCGGCGAAAGAGCCAGCACGCGAGCCAGGCTGCGCGCCTCCGACATCGGCTACCAGACGCCCATGCGAGGTCACTTGTCCTGCTGCTGAGCTCACTGGTCCTGCTGCTTGTCCTTCTGCTTGAGCTCCTCCACTTTCTGATCGAGCTCCTCGACTTTCTTCTGCAGGTTGCCCTGTGCCCGCAGGAGAGCCGCGAACGTCTGTCCCTGTGCCCGCAGGAGAGCCAGAATCTCATCCATCTTCTCGTCCTTGTTCTGAATGCGCGTTGGTCAAGAAATTGAGCATCGTGGTGATAACGGTGGTTAGCCCGTCCTGCTGCTGCTGCTGCGTAAGCTTCTGCTGCCACTGCTGTGCTCCTGCTGTATCAGCTCCTGCTGTTGCAGCTCCTGATGACGCAGCTCTTGAGCTGTTCCAGCTTTTCCAGTTGTTCTTCTCTCCTGCAGCTGTTCCAACTTCTTGCTGATGGCCTTCACTTTGCCATTGCTCTCCTCTGCCCTCTCTGGCCTTGAGCTTGGCCTTCTTCGTCGACCTCCACTCATCCGCTTCATCGTCTTCCCGCTTCTGGACGTAGCTCGAGTGGAGCTCCACAGTGTTCATGATGGTAGAGCACCATGCGGTCTTGTCCTCATCAGAACCCTGTGGACAAGCATCATGGAACCAGAGATGCTTATTCTTTACATTCTTGATGTGGTCCTGCGAAATCTGGTGCGTCGGGGCTGCCCATTTGTCGCACGCTGAACAAAACCACCAGGGCTCATTAGATTCTCCACTCGTCTTCGAAACGTACTCCGCGAACTTGTAGCCATGGAGCATCAATGGGTCCAGTGTCAGGGTCCATGATGACGGTTTCTGGACATGGGCCAGGCCCCCCTGCGCTGCCCCCCATTTCTGGCATGGCAGCCTGCAGGCGCTGCAAGAAATGCCTTGAGCCGAGGTGCTTGCGCTACAGGAAAGCTGGGTGATCTGATAACCAGCGGAGCTCTAACGTGGTGTAAGCTCCTGGTGATCTGGTTGAGCCCCCTGGTTCTAACATTGTGTGTGCTCTACTAAGATAGGACGTGGGAAAGACGGCGCGAGGGAGGAGAAAGGAAAGATGATGCGATCTGTTGCTGCCGCGAGGAAACGCTTAGGGGACCTGGCGCAGACTGGGTCAGCGGCTGTTGCAGCGTACTGGCGATTCTGTCACTTCTGCATCGCAGCCTCAGTCGTCCCAGAGGTGAGGTCGAAACGGGAGATCGTCCTCACGCTCGCCAGTTTCTGGGTTGAGATAATGCATCTTCGTCAACGCGCCTGGCACAGAATCGCAGTACGACACCCAGCCTAGCGGAATAAGGTTATCATTATCCACGGTAGTTCTCACTGGTTGCACGTTTCTGAACTCCACTGGCAGCTTGGCGAATCTTGTCTTGCTGCCCTTGAGCTTCTTGCCTGGGCAGTTCTAACGATAAATATCTTCGAGCAGGTCGCTCCGTCTTTTGAACTCCGCTGGAAAGGCATTTTTAGGATATGGAAGCAAACAATCCAAATCCATCCTTTCTGCCCTCAGCAGTTGTTGTGCAGTTTGTTCAATCACCACAAAAGATGATCCCCGTCGCCGTCCCGTCGAATTGTTACGATGTCTTGCAATTTTCCGTTAAAACTGGTACATCACTCTCCCAGATCTGCGTGACCTGTCTGTTGCAGCAACTTCGCTAACGTGAGATGAGGCAGCAGGAGATGGCTCGGATGAGATGACGAGGCAGGGGCAGAGGCAGTGGCAGAAGGACTTGGAACTCGAAACTCTGGACCGATCGGAAACGAAATCCATGTGCTGATTGTGCTTTACTTATCTTATCCAGAGCGTAGCGCGTAGCGCGTGACGCTTGCACTTGAAACTTGAACTCTGAACATAATGGAAGCCACAATGGCTTGCTGCTTGCTGGCTTGCTGTGGAGCTGCGAGTTGCTTTAGGAATTCTGTAATGTTTCGCTGGATGCACTGGCGCACTGGCGCACTCGAGGCCCTTGTCCCCTGTCCCAATGTCCCTTGTTGGTCAACGGTCAACGGTCAACGGGGCAACTTCCCCCACCACGTACCGCGTCTGGGTAGTGCCCGCTGCGCGCGCAAGACAGCGGAGCTTGGCAGCTTCGCAAATGGCGCTCAGAATGTCCTACAAACATATAGGAAGCTGTATGCGCAGTGCCTGACCGCAAGCCCCTGCTGCGACGCGACCTTGTTGTCAGCGCGGGGGAAGTGCGCGATCACATGCTTCTCAACCTCTCCGCATTGTTTGTCGGGGAAGGACGCGGCCACTTGCATCTCATCGTAGCTGAGCTTGTGCCCGCGCGTGAAGCTTCGGTCGTTTCCTCGCCACCCCCATCACCCATTCCATCGCCATGAAGGGTCGCTCGTCGTGCCGATGTAGACGGAGCGCCCAGAGGCGACGGCGCGATCGTGGAGGTGCCGCGCGCGATTCATCACTAGACCAACGTCGATGTCGATGAGGGGCTGGTGTACAAACATCGATTGAATGCCGCGACAATCACTAAGCACCTGTCGAGCGCCCTCCCGGGCGCCTTCCCACATCATCTTAAGCCGCGTCTCTCGGCTGCGCGAGCGCATGCGACGCCTGGCAGGCGCTGTCACTCTTTTGCCGTTGTCGTCGAAACAGGCGACCTTCGCGAACTGAAATGCGCTGCCGCCATCGACCCCTGCAAAGGCCCTCGGGCTCCGAACTCCAGAGGCCTTGTCGCCGCCGTCGCCGCATCCTGCTCGGCCCTCGACAGCGTCGGTAGGCGGTCCCCCGCGTGAAAGGTTGAGCCCCAGGCGATCTGTGATGAACGAAAATGTGTCATTGTTCCCCTTGCCAATGCCACCGCCATTGACGCCCTCGGCGCTGATGGTGTCATTGGCCATGACCTTGACCTTGACGTTCACGCCGCAAGGCCCTCGAGCTGCTCCGCCGTCTCCGACGCTCCCTGGAGGAAGCGACGATGCTGATGCTGGATGCACCTTTGCTGGAGAGGGCGATGCTGTCTGGATCTCGCAGGCCCTGATCTCTGGAGGCGACGCCGACGGCACTTGCAAGCCCTTACCTCTGGAGGAAGCGATGCTGTCTGGATCTCGCGCTGCTCTGCGGGTGCCGCCAGCGGCGCCAACGCCCGCTGCAAAACCTCCCTGGCTGGCTTGTTGCGGACTCGCAGCGGCGGCGGCCACGGCCCGAACGTCCACGGCAACTCTGGCTTCAACATAGAGCGTCATACCTTCAGTGGCCTTGTCATCCGAGCCGCCGATCATGTCTCGCAGAAGGCAGGCAGACACCGACTGCGAGTCCGCGCTGGGGGACCCCCGGGATGAGGTGCTGAATAAAGGATCCCCCATGGCTCTTACCCCAGCCATGGGAAACTAGCTTGGGCCAATATGCCAAGATGATGTAAGGATGCGAATCCTGTCGCGGATCTGCTGGGGTGCTCGGGGCGCTGTGGGGTCCTGGGTGTGGTGCCCTAGGGCCCTAGGGCCCTCTCTGGTGGCCTCTTCCCCCTCGCTTGCTGCGCCCAGCTGGTGGCGACCAGGGAGGTACTGGGCGCCAGAAAGCCGAAGGCTAGAGGCTAGAACAATTCGAGCGCCTAGCGCCTAGCGGCCTGGAGAGTGAGACAATCTGCATATGGAATGCAGTTGATCTGAATATGGGCGTCTTTCTCCTCGTCTCTGAGCTCATGGATGCATGGGGGCGCCTGCGCTCGCTGTTCCAGCCATGCGCAGCACATGCGCAGAGTCCTATCGTGGGCCCATTCCCACTCGCGCCACTAACAGATGCTCTCGCGGGCACCTTTGCTCAGAGCGTGATGCGCTCCACCCCCCTCCTCCCGCCTGGACTCCTCCTCCTGCTCCTCCTCCTGGCCTCGTCCTCCTCGTCATCGTCATCCTGGTTCCCCCGCGTGGGCCTGCGGGGGCGCCGCGGCCGCCCGCGGCAGCGCCGCCCGCCGCCAGGGGCCTGGGGGGGTGGGGGGGCGGAGGAGCTGTTGCAGCGGAGGTGCAGCAGACGGCGAGGGGAGACGAGTCGGAGAAGCTCGCCGTTTTGTTGTCACGCTTCTCTGCATAAACAGCTGTTCCTACGATGCCTGGCCCTATCGAACCTCGGGCGCACACCCGCGTGCCTATCACTAGGAGCCTAGTGGGCAGGCTTCTGCGCGCCGAGAGACGGAGGGCGGCGCTCCTCTGGGGAGAGCTTGAAAGGGAAACCATACATTACCTGCCTCCTGCACGACAACGGCGGCACGCCGAAAGGAGGCGCTGTTGCAGCGGAGCGCTGGCCACAAAGACCCCGCCGATTCCGTGCAACCGCCCCCATCCCAGCCCCTTCCCATTCCCCTCACTGCCACCCCCCTGAGTAAGTCAACTGGCAACTTGACGCCAGCGAGCTGGATGCCAGGGTCCCTGAACGAGTGGCGCGCTCCTAAGATGAGACGCGCGAGAGGACAATACCACACACAATGCATGTACTTCGTGTTGATATGCGTGCTAATCATATCCAAACACACACACGCACCTCAGTGGTGCAGCCGGCTCAACATCAAGGAAAACCGCAAGACAAGCCCAGTCCGCACAGCGTCAAAGCGTATGCGGTGGGCCGCACAGGCGTGCCACTGCTACAGTAATAAGGCAAAATTCTCAGCAAGACGCGAAGGGTATCTGACAGACAGTCACCCGACGCGACTAGAAGCACTTCGCCGACCGGGTCAAGCGCTCGAGAACTTGCGGTGATCCGTCATGCAAGCCGCCCACAACCCCACTCGAAATGTGTGCGAGGGCGCCGCGTACTCGAATTGCGTGCGCATCTGTTGCATAGCGGAAGGCAGGGCTCATCCGAGAGGCGCATCTGTTGCAGGTCGGCCAAAACTGGCGCTGACAGAAGCAATGCCTGAACCAGAACTGGCGTGTCGCAGTCGACTGTTGCAGTCTACCGGAAGCGCGCTCGGGGAGGCCCCGCGATTTACTGTGACAGTCTGTGCAAGCTGTCAGCTGCTCCCAGACGCGGGCTCGTCCCACCGAGGCTCACAGAGACGCTTTGCCTCGCTGGGGTGCGTGTGATACATGGGCGCGGCTCTGTCGCACAGCGTTTTTGGGCGCGGGCGACTGTCGTAGTTGTCATTGTACTGCACCTGCGCGTCCACGAGGATCCCGAAGATGTGCTCCCTGAAACAATAGACATTGATGTTCTGCCTGATGCCGCCTATCCAGTACTTGTGCTGGAGCCTGTGGTAGTCCCATTCCGCATGGATCACAATGCGCGCGTAGTATTGGTGCTGCGGTTGCACCAGGCAGAAGACGACGTCTCCGTTCTGCACGGTGGACGCCTCCTTCACGACGCAGCCAGGGCCCGCATCCGCTGTTGCAGCTTCGATGGGGTGAAAGGTGCAGAAGTCGTGCGACTGCACCAGAGGCCACATGGAGTTTCCCGAGCTCGGGTACCACACGGGGAAGCCGCCTTCGAGGTACTCATGTATCATCTTGTTCCTCTCTCCCCGCAGCCTTAATTCCAGAACAAACTTGTCGGGGTCCCACGCTGCGCCGTCGACCAGCGTCCAGTCCTTGTGGAGCACGGGAATGGCCTCGTGCGGGGACGACAAAACAAAGGGTGGAAGGCGCTTCGGCTTGCTCTGCTCGACGACTGCGGCCTCCTCGGGGGGCAACTTGGCGATGGACTTGTAACCTTTGGACTGCTCCGCCGTCTGACCGACCTTTGCACGTAGTGGGAAGGCTGCCTTGGCTCTTGCAGCTATGCGGGCATTCGTCGTCTGTTCCGCCTGCCGCTTAAGAAGTTTCCCGCGCTCGATAGGCTCCTCGCTGTGCTTCATGGTGGCAGAAACCGTCGTCGCCCGTGTGGCTGACCCACGTGGAGCCTGGGATAACAGCTGGCGCCGCTCAGCCTCCATGTGTTCCTGCCGCGCTCGCTCTGGCTCGGGCTTGTAGTGGTCCGCCTCTTGTCGCAGCTGCTCTCTCGTCATCGGCGGCGGCGGCGGCACGACCCTGCCCGATAAATCGATTGGCCGTGGCGGGCGGGCGGGCATCCGTTTCGGAAGAGGCTGGCCCTCCGCGGGCGCGTCACTGACCCTCTTCGCTGGCGCGTGCTTGGCCCACGGAGTCTTTTGTCTCCAATCATCCTCCTCCTGCCGAAGCGGAGACGTGAGAGGAGCACCCATCCCGCGCCGTGCATGGCTTTCTGGCCGTGTCCGTGCCGTGACAGGAGCATCCCGCGCCGTGCTGCGGGTGCGCTCTCTGCCTCTGCGGGTACGGTCACCAGCCTCTCGGGGGGAGTCGCTGTCGGAGATCACAATCGTGTGGTGCGGATCACCCGACTGCTCGGCCTGGGCCCGCGTTCTGTCGGCCTCCGACGGAAGCTCCGTCAGCCTGAGCCCGCTCCTCGCCGCCATCGGCGGGCCACTAGCGCCTGCGCCCTCACGAGCTGTTGCTGCCTCTCGCCGCCCGCTTGACGCTGTTGCAGCCAACTGGCGCTGGCGCGGCGACGCCTCTCCCTGGCGACTCTGGGCGTTTGACAGGCGCCGCTGCTGCCTCGCCCACCGCTGCAGATCCATCCCACTGGTACCGTGCACAGCCTTCGATCCCAGTCGCCCCTGGCGGGTTCCGACGCTCCCAGTCTATCATCTCAGTGTTCCACCTGATCTCCTCATCGCTCAACTGCCTGCGTGCGGTCGCGCCCAGGCATCCGTAGGGTCTCTACTGGCCCTCCCAGACTCCTGGGCGGTCGAAGATCATCATGCCGTCATTGTCCAACTGCTGCTGCTTATGTTGGACGCAGCGCAGGCGGCGCTCATGATCCAACGCCTCATCGCGTTCGCCCTCCTGGCGCGCTAACTTTATATTCAACTCGCACCGCTCCCTCTGGCTCCGCAAGCCTTTGCGCTGGTTGTGCAAGTAATCCCAGGTGCCGACCTGAAGACTAGCCAAAACTGGAAGATCTGCATTACAAGTCGACGTCGGACTTGATATGTTACACCTCCCTTGGGATTTCCGACATGCTATGTTAGAGCTCCCTGGGATATCTAACATGCTATGTAGGAGCTGCGTGGGAGCTCTAACAAGGTATGTAAGAGCTCCCTGGGAGCTCTAACATCCTCTAGCATGCCATGTTAGATCTCCATGGGAGCTCTAACACCCTCTAGCATGGGAGCTCTAACGTGCCATGTTAGAGCTCCCTGGGAGCTCTAACATCATGTAGCATGTCATGTTAGAGCTCCAGGTGAGCTCTAACATGGCATGTTAGAGCTCCAATGTAGCTCTAACATCCTCTAACCTGCCGCGTGAGAGCCCCATGGGAGCTCTAACATGGCATGTTAGAGCTCCATGGGAGCTCTTATCAGACAGGGGGGGGGGGGGTGGGGGGGGCAGGGGTACTGCAGCTAGCCCAGATTTGGCTGGTCTGACCTGGCGCCCTTTGCCCTTGCCCTTGCGCGCGTCGTCGTTGCCCTTGCCCTTGGCGCCCTTGCCCTTGCCGCCATTGCCGACCATCTGGGCTGTTGCAGCTGGGGCGGGCTCGGAACAGCGCGCGCGCGGCGCGCGGGCGGAGTAGGGAGTCGAGCCGACAGCTACGGAGACGAGGGAGACAGAGAGAGGGAGAGAGATCCCCAAAGTTTTCGGATGAGATCACTGCAGAGGTTTCGATGGGGATGGGAAGGTTGAACCGTCCCAGCTGCGGCAAAAGGGGCGGGATCATCGCTCTGGAGGTTTCGATGGAGATCGCTCGCATTCACGCGAACACGTAGGTGGACTGGGGGCTGGGCTGGACAAAAGCGGTGGAAGACGGCATCGTCGCTACTCCTGCCTCGTCCTGCTCCCCCCTCATCCTTCAGCCCCATCGCCCCCCTCGCTCCCCTCCTCCTGAGGGCGGCCCTGGGCGCCCGATGCTTCCCGCCCCCACCCCCCCCACCCTCGCCGCCGACAACCGCCGCCGCGGGCAGCCGCAGCCCCCCCCCCATCGGCGACCTTCAGGCCCCCAGCGGCGGGCAGCGCCGCCCGCGGCAGCGGCGCCCACTGAGGGGCGCAGGGAAGGCAAGGTCGGACGACGTTGGGCGGCGCTCTTTTTCAACAAAAATGGCGCGATCGCAATCTATGGGGCGGGCTACTTACTCACGCTGTCACAGCCTTGGTGCCCGGGCACAGTGCTTCAACCGTCGCGTCGAAACGCAGAACCCAGTTCCTCGGGCTGTTGTAGAGCTGTTTGACGGCTCTGTCGACACCCGCTTCTTCTCCCGAGCGGCGCAGCACGCAAGTTCGCTGCGCCAGGCGGGGATTGGCCTGCTTCTTGAAGAACTTGCAGAACTTCCTGGGGCTCTTGAAATAGATCACATACCCACTCGGCGTCTGGGCAAGCGCTCGCAAAACGTGGGGCAGTGTAGGCAGGTCTTCCGCGAGAGCCTCTGTGACAGCCACGTGGTAGCTCTTGCTCGAGTTCCGATGCTTCTCCTTGTACTGGATGCCTTTTGGGGAATCCTTCCGTGCAAAGTCAGTCGGCGCGGAAAAAAAAAAGCTCCCGTGAACGCTGCTACAATCTGGGCGGCGATGCAATAGTCGGTGTCAGCTGTTGCCGCCACGACTACGTTCCCCTTCCCCTTGGCCGCATGACGGGCAAGATAGTCCAGGAAGTCCACCGGGTCCTGGAACGCCTTGAAACGCAAGCCCTGCGCCTTGTTGCGAGCGCCCACATCTACCACGCGAGCCAGCATGAGCCCAGCGGGGCGCGGGGGGGGCAGCAAGTAAGCGTCACGGCCCGCAGCTGGCCTGGCACTGCGCAGGACTTTCTTCTCTCGGGTACCCCTGGCCTTGGCGGCGGCCTTCGCCCCTCCAAGATTGCGCTCTCGGATCTTGGCCTCCCGCTTGGCGACGGCGGCGACGACTTTTGCAGCGGGCCCGACTGGATCTGCGCCGCTCGCCTGGGCCGCCTCCTGAGCCAGCGCAGCGAGATCGGGGGCGCCCTCCGCGAGAAGGCGGGCGCGCTTGCACGGGGAAGCGGCCGCCATGGCGTCGACGGCAGCTGCTCGCCTGCGCCCGAAGCCTACCTCTGTCCGACGTGCTGCCCCAGGCTCCCGCGCGCTTCCCTTGTCGCGCCTCTCGGCCCTCCTCAGCGGCACGATCTTCCCCTGCGCGACCTCATGTAGCTTGGGCACATGCCTGTACCAACGACTGGCGGCAGAGCTCTCGTCGTCCAGCCACGCGCGCAGCAACCTGCTGGAGGGCGCCTGGTCCACCAGCGTGCACTCCTCGACGGACGCGTCGAGGAGCCGCGCCCTCTCGGGGCAATGCACCTCCGAGAAACGGCGGGATCGCCTCTCCACGTTGCCCGTGCTCGTTTCCCATACAAGGAAGAGCTCCACGAGGCGACGGCCGCTGGGGAGCTCGGGCCACTCCACCGCAGCGCGGCCCCAAGCCTGCCGCGTGGTGCCCCCGTCTCGATGATGCACCTCGGCACGCGGCAACATTTGCCGCAGCTGGGATATTGCCTCCTGCTCGGGGAGGTCTGCCGCCTGGCAGATGCGCTTCAAACAGGCCTCGGCTCGGCTTCTGTTGCATGCTCTGTTGCAGACAGGGACAGGGGGGAAGGCAAGCGAAAGGCTGTAAAGGCGTGCAACCAAGAATGCTCTGGCCGATATAGCTTGATGTTCTCCTCACATTGGCCGCGATCCCCTGCGCTCGTCGAAGAGCCGCGTGGGCGGCTTCGCGGGCTCGGGGCTCCGTTCCCCAATCGCCGATGCCAACGGTCTGGACGCCAGTGCCGCACGCGAACCGCTTCGTGGCCTTCAGAAACTTGAGGGTGACGCCAGCAAACGCGCTGGGGATGGCCAGAATATCCCCCTGGACGAACAATGTATCCAGCTTGGAAGGGGAAAGCGGCGGCCCTGGATTGAACGCTGGCAGCGTCGGGGTTGCTCTTATCTCCGGTGGCGACCCAGGAGTAGTGCTCCGCGCCCAAGTCGGCCAGCAACCCCCCCAGGAGCAGGCGCGAACTGTTCTCGCCCCCGAGCCCTTCCAGAATCTGTCGGGCGAGAATGCGCCGATCTTTGTCCTTCCCCTGGGACTCCACTCCGAGCGCCTCCAAAATGACTTGCCAACGCCGACTTTCCCGTGCTGAGGGCCTCGCCCGACCGTTGAAACGCTGGGGGGCCCAGCCGAAGTTTTTGACGAACGCGGCGCCGTCTTCCACCAGCTGCTGCTCCCCGAGTGTGTTGCGGAACACGGTGGAGGTAGTCAGGAACTTGGCCAGACTTGGCGGCTTCTTACCCGTTGCCAGCAGCTCGTCCGCGGTCGTTATTTCGCTGTCTCCTTTCATCGAATTGGCCGGAACCTTCTGGGGCGAGCGAGACTCGCCCCACGCGTGAAACGCCAGCCCAGGGAACGTAGCTGTTGCAGCCAGGGGTGCACTTAGATCCGCCCCGTCGCTGCACCATGCCCGAGTCTCCTGTCGCACATGCGCGTGCAAGTCCCCGTCCAGCCCCCCGCCTGCCGTCTGGCACGCGCGACGGACGCACTCCTCCAGCATGGGAGCCTGGCCGTCGCAGTCCATGCCCCGCGGGAACTCCCGCGCCCCGATCACCCGATCCACGATCCAGGGCCCTCTGGGGCCCAGCTGTTCCAGCCAGCCTGCCTTGAGACCGTAGCTCGGGGGGAAGTCCAAAGCCTTCGGGATCGACCGCAGCACGGTGCCAATTTCGACCTGGCACGTGCGGTCGAGGCCGTCCGCAGCCAAACGAAAAACAGCACCATGTTCGAGGATCCTCTGCGTGATGATCTTCTCGTGCTGAGCCATGGTGGTCACCAGCCTTCGGCGCTGCTGACTAGACTCCAAAACTTGGCGGTCGCCCCCAACGAACGCATCCCGCCACACGTCGAAACTACTGAAGGAACTGGACGTCTCCAACATTGCACGGGTGGCGACCACTGCGCGGCAACCAGGGCGCTGGTCGGCGGTGCGGACGACGGCGGGCGCAGGCGCCACGGCCGTCGCAGCTGCTGCAGCCGTCGTGGGGAACACAGACACGGGGAGACCCTGGTGCGCACCTTCCGCTCGAACCCGCTCTTTCCACGCCGCTTCTGCTGCCTGGTGACCCTCGCGCTGTGCATGGCGCACGAGGTCTTCCTTGCGTTGGAAACTCGCGGATCCCTGGCCTATGGTGGAATAGCAACGAGCGCCCTTGAACGCCGAGCAGAACAAGCAGGCGGCAAATCTACCACCTACGCAGCCTATCCAAGTTTCACTCTTCAGTGTTACTGGATTCGTCGCAGACATCGAGGCGCTCCACTTCTCCTTGTTCTTCCAAAATTTGCAAGCGCCGCAGGTGGAGACGTGCTTTGGGTAGTCGTGGCTGGCGACGTGCTCCAGGGTCATGGACAACGAAGGCGGGAACTTCTCGACTACTTTGCTCGGGGCGGCCTTCGCCTTCGCTCTTGCAGCCGCGGCTGCCTCGCTGCTGGAGCCGCTGTCCTCTTCGGAGCCGCTGTCGGAGCCGCTGTTGGAGCCGCTGTCCTCTTCGGAGCCCGCTGCGTCGGCAACTCCGTCGGCGCCGTCGGCGTCGGACCCTACGCCAGCATCGGCGTCCGAGCTGTTGCTGTTGCAGCTGCCACGGCTTGGCGAAGCTGCCCCCGACGAGGCCGCCGAGGCCGCGCGGCTCGACGGGGCCGCTCTCGACGAGGCCGCACGGCTCGAGGATGCCGCTCTCGAAGAAACCGCCGCGGCCGCTGTCGAAGAAGCCGCCGAGGGCGCTCTCGAAGAAGCAGGGCTCGGGGAAACCAAAGGAGAGGACGAGGCCGCAGGGCTCGGGGAGGCCGCAGGGCTCGGGGAGGCCGCAGGGCTCGGGGAAACCGAAGGAGGGCTCGGGGAAACCACAGGAGCGGACGACGACATTACCTTGAGCCAAGTCCTACGGACCACAATGGTGACGATGGTGATGGTGATGGCGATGCTGATGGTATGGATGGTGATGATGATGCTGATGATGATGATGCTGATGATGATGATGGGGATGGTGATGATGGGGATGGTGAGGGCGATGCTGATGGTATGGATGGTGATGATGATGATGCTGATGATGATGATGATGATGATGGGGATGGTGATGATGGGGATGATGAGGGCGGTTGTGATGGTGATGATGGCGATGGTGATGATGGTGAATATGGATGTGATGAGCACCACCATCATCACCATCACCATCGCCACCACCATCAGCACTACGATTTGATAACCACCATCATTACAATCGTCGTCGGCATCAAAGCACAAAAACATTCAACCGACTCAACCTAAATCCGCCCTAAAGACAGCCAGGATCCGCGCCCGGTTCGCCACCCCCCCACACCCCCCCCTTGTTCAGAGTGAGGGGGGCGAACGGTCATTCATTGTCCCTGGGTGTGTGGCTGAATAAGGAACTCGTGGTTAGAATTCTGCGTGTTGCGTTGTTGTTCTTGATGTTGTTGTTGGTTGTCGTCGTCCCACCCGCGACCCACCAGCGACCCACCCCGCGACCCACCCCGCGACCCACATCGCGAAGCGCCCTGCGACCCACCCCGCGACCCACCCGCGGCCAACCCCGCGACCCATCCGCGACCCAACCCGCGACCCACCCTCCACCCATCCCGCGAACCACCCCGCGACTCACCCCGCGACCCACCCCAAGACCCACCCCGCGACCCATCCGCGACCCACCCCGCGACCCATCCGCGACCCATCCGCGACCCACCCGCGACCCACCCTCAAGGGAGGAAAACCACCCGAACCCGACGATCGACGTTTACTAAACGGCCCTGGGCGTTTACTAAAAAGCCTTGCCCTGTTCGATTCAATCCTCGTGTACGTTTACTAAACGGCTTCGCTTGTCGGGGTGATTATTATGGGGTGGATTTCTGCCCTCTACACCAGCGACCTGCCCGCGACCCACCCGCGACCCAACAGCGACCCACCCGCGGCCCATTTGCGACCCACCCGCGACCTATCCACATTGGTTTAACGAAAAAATCGGCGCCTGCGGCGGGCTGGTTGTATACTTTGTGAGACTTTGGCGCCTGCAGCGGGCTTCTCCAAAGTCTCGCAAACTGCCGACGTCCCCACGGCCCCCTCACTCTTGTCCGCATCTGCGGGGTGCTACGTATCTCTCCCAACTAACGGATCGCGACACTACGCGTGTCTTCCGTCATCCGCCGCCCCCCAATTGATTTATCACAGGGGTACCTGGCGTGTGGCTCGTTTCAAGACTCCCTCTGGGGCTTCGGCCCAGCGCGCCGGCCACCCGGAAAGCTTGCCCATACCCGCTTGCAAAGGTGTTCCTGCTCCAGATGGCTCCAAGATGGTCTCAAAGACGCCTCGGAGACTGTCAAGTTGGCTCAGGATGGCCTAAAGAGAGCCCAAGACGGCCTGAGATGGCCTCAAGATGGCCCAAGACAGCCTAAGAGGCTTCCAAGACGGCCCCAGAGGCCTCCAAGGTCCTCCTGAAGGCTCGAAGAAGCCAAAATCATAGATTTCCCTGCGGTGTTTGAAGGAATTTGGCACTTGCTTCTTTTCGGCCTTCCGATGGCCCAAGACGGCCAAAGAGGACCCCAAGATCACCGCAAGATGCCCCCAAGACGGCCACAAGAGGGCCCAAAGACGGATCAAGAGGCCCCTTAGACGCCTAAGACGGCCTTCAACTCAAAGACAGCCCTGAAGCGCTCCAAGACTGCCCCAAATCGGTTCAGGGAGGCCCGCAAGACGGCTTCTAACGGCGTCAGACGGGCCAGGAACGCCCAAGATGGCGAAAGAGGCTCCCAAGGAGCCGCCAAAGGCTCCCAAGAGGCCCAAGGAACCCCCAAAGAGGCCTCCAAGAGGTGCCCCAGAAGCTCACAGGAGTTCCCAAGAGTGTCCCAAGACACTCCCAAAAAGCTTCCTCCTCCTCCTCCTCTTCCTCCTCCTCCTCTTCCGCCTACTCCTCCTCTTCCTCGTCCTTCTCCTCCTCCTCCTCCTTCTCCTCCTCCCTCTCCTGATCCTCTCCCTCATCCTCTCCAAAGTATTCCCGACGTCTTTCAAGAACGGCTGGGGGAATCCATAGTCCGATAGCTTGGCCAAGCTGGGGCCACACGGTTGGCCACAGAGCCGCTTTCCAAAAGGCCGAAGGCGGCGGTGATTCATCGTAAACGTCTTCGATAAGCTTCTCGTACGCCTCTGGTGTGCGCCGGAGTTCGAACCGCTTCTTGAGGTCCAGGTCGAGAACAGTCTGCTTTACGTCCTTGGCCGACTGCGTGAGGCCTGGCAACTTGGCCAGCATCTTGTAATAGATAGCCTCGTTCGGCTGTATCCTGATCACCAGCTCGTTCTGCGGCTGTTCACCGAAGAGGCTGTTCGGAGGCGCCTTCTTGAACTGCAGCCGCACGATGGTGAAGGGAGTCTCCAGTGCCTTGCCCGCCTTCAGGATGAAAGGTACCCCAGACCATCGCTCGTTGTCGAGGTACAGTACGGCCACCGCGAAAGTCGGGCATCTTGAGGGATGCCCCTTTTCATCATTAATCCTTTTTATGTCAGGATCATCCTGGTAGCCGTCGTACTGCCCGATGACGCAATTCGCCGGGTCGATCGGCCGGATCTGCTTCAGCACCTTGACCTTCTCGTCCCGGACGTCCTCGGCCCCCAGGCTGGCGGGGGCCTCCATGGCCACCAGGGCCAGAACCTGCATGAGGTGGTTCTGCATGATATCCCTGATGATGCCGTAGCTGTCGAAGTACCCAGCGCGCCCCACCACCCCGATGGTCTCCTTGAATGTGATGCGGACATTGGCGATGTGGTACTGATGAAACAGGGAGCCCAGCTCACGATTTGCGAAGCGCAGGGTGAGCAGGTTGAGCACCAGCGTTTTGGCGAGATAATGGTCTATTCTGAATGTCTCGGGCTCGCTCAAATGCCTGCTGAGCTTGTCGGAGAGCTCCTTGGCCTCTGCCCCATTCTTGCCAAAGGGCTTCTCCACGATGACGCGGCAAGCGCCTGTCTGCGACCAGCAGTTCAGCTTGATAGCCTCCACCGCACTGGCAAAAAGGAAGGATGGCAACGCGAGGTAGAACACCCTGTGATCCTTAGCGCGACCCTCGGAGGACTGCCGTATGCGAGCGTCCAGCGCCCTCAAAGTGGAGGGGTCTGAGAGTGAGACGGGCACGAACTCCATCATATTACTAAAGAACTGCATGTCCTCCGCAACCCATCCCTTCTCCTTCTCCAGGTACGGACGCAAGCGCTTGTCCCAGAAATCAGCCTTGCTCCCCAAGTCCTGGTGGAACGTCGTGTCGTCGCACCCGAACACGGATGTATTGGCCGGGAGCATCCTACCCAACGAAAGCTGAAACTCGCCGACCCCCGCTTGCCAGGGGGCCGAAAAGGTGTGAGACATTGGACTGTCCCCCTCTGCCGTCCCTCCTCCCCTGGGGTCCAATATTCCGTTGGTTGGGCGTGTTAGTGTGTTTTTGTGTGTGGTTGTGTTTGTGTGTGTGTTTGTTTGTGTGGTTGTGTTTGTGTGTGTGTGTTGGCGTCTGTTGTGTGTTTGTGTGTTTGTGTGTGTTTGAGTGTGTTTGATTGTGTGTATGTGAAAATGTGGTTGTGTGGTTGTGTGTGTTTGTGTGCTTGTGTGTTGTGGTTGTCAAAGGTTGTGTGTGTATGTTTGTGCGTGTGGTTGTGTGTGCTTGTGGTTGTGTGTGTCGTCGTGTGCGTGTTTTGTGTTTGTGCTGGTGATTGTGTTTGTGTGCGTGTGCGCGTGTGCGTGTGCGTGTGCGTGTGCATGTGCATGTGCATGTGCATGTGCATGTGCGTGTGCGTGTGCGTAAGCGTGAGCGTGAGCGTGTGCGTGTGCGTGTGCCTGTGCGTGTGCGTGTGCGTGTGCGGTGTGTGTGAGTGTGTGTGTGTGTGTGAGTGTGTGGTGTGTGTGTGTGTGTGTGTGGTGTGCGTGTGTGTGGTTGGCCATGTGGGGGCACGAGCTCCCCAACTTACCCCTGGGGTGCCCTGCAGTCTCCGAATCCGCCCTTCGCTGCCGCACATATATGCCCAATCTGCCATATGCCTTCTAACATGGCCCCAGGAAGCTCCAACGCGCTGGCCTCGAAAGCACCCAAGATGGCGTCATGACGGCCGAATGCGCCCCAAGAGGACCCAGGAGAGGGACCTCAAGAGACAGAGGTCATGGCTTCTCCATATGGTTTAACTGGTGTTCGCGTTCTCGCCGTTTCAAGCATCTGAGCGTCCAAGACGGCCTGCGAGACCCCCCAGACCGGCCCAAGGCGGCCCCCAGGAGATAGCTCGCTAGGATGCCCCCAAGACAACCGAACCGAAACGGCCCAAGGGGGGCTCAAGAGAGGCTCAAGATGGGGAACTCTGGGAGTTCCTCCTCCAAGGTGTCCCCAAGTCCCCGAACATGCTCCCACAAGGCCGCCAAGAAGGCCCCAGAAAGCCCCCAAACGCCCCAAGAAGCCTTGGAACAGCTCCAATCTGTCGCCCCATAGGCCTCCAAGATACCACTAAGAAGCCCCGCAACTCAAGCGGAAGGAGAGGAGGACGGATCAACAACAGCAAGCAGCACGACAGGTAGCGAGAAAGGCACATACGACATCGGAAGCCGCACATATCCTCCTCTGGGGGTCGGCGGAATGGCGAATGCCTCTTGGATATTGATGGGAATGTTTTCTTCTTGGCCAAATCTCCGGCGGCTCCGAATACTATGAGGGAGTGGTGGTTCTCGCGGTCCTCTTTCAGCTGCACCACGGATATGTTACTATACTTGAGAACGTAGTCCAGAGGCGACGCTGGAGCAGGCTTCGCCGCCTTCCCGCCCTTGGTGGCCTGGACCATCAACACGCCCTCCGCTGTCATCATCACGCCTGTGGGCTCCACCACCTTGGCCCTCTTGGCGGTCCTCTGGCCGAATCTCAACTCGTCGAAGGTCTGCTTCACCCGATTCCAGGCGTCCTCCGCGCCCTGCTGCAGGAACAGCATGATGTGCTCGGCATTGCGGATCACCCGCAGGTTCACGCTGATCCGCTGCTTCACCTCGAAGATCGTCGTCTGCGTGCAGACGACCCCCATCTCCTTGGCGCTGGCGGCGCTCCACCGCTGAGGCGCGCCCTGGTACCACTCGGGGAACACGCTGGCGACGCTCATGTCTGGGCCCAGGTCCAGGGTGACGATCGGCTACACGCAAGAGTGACCCTGGGCAAGAGTGACCTCTAGTGCGCGGCCTAGCGGGGGCCGCCGCGGGGCCAAACACAGGCCGCCGCCAACGTCTCGCACTCGGCGAATTCCGGCGACTGGGCCGCATCGGGCCCGCACCAAAGATCACTCCGGCCAAGGGTTCACTCTTACGTGTGGCCGAGACGAGATGTGGACCGGCCTCGCGCTCCAGCATGGCGAGGAGCCGCTCCCGGTAGTCCTTGGCGCACGCCCTCACGGGCGCCAGCTCCGTGTTCGGCACCAACAGCAGGGCCGGCGGCACCGGCGTGCCGAGCTTGCCGAGCACTTCCACCAGGGCGTTCCGCACGAGGGCGGCGTTGCTGTCCTCTTCGGACTGGAACCCGTACCGCTCGTCCACAAGGAAAATTTGCACGCGCCTCCAGTCGATGTCTAGTTGAAGAAACAACGCCATAAACATAAAACTTTCGGCGCTCCGCGCGGATTTCTTGGATCTGCGCTGGACCTCCCTCCCTGGCGCGGGGAGTGCGCCAGGGGCGGCGCCGGAGGCGCCGCCGGGGGGCCCCAGCGCGGAACCAAGAAACTCGCGCGGAGCTCCGAAAGCGTATGTTCGTGGCGTTTTTTCCCCTTCGCATGTCGGGCCGGCCCGCCAGCGCGCACACCAGCTCGGTCATGCGCAGGCGGCGCGCCCGCCCATTGGGCCCGTGCAGCCCCAGCACAAAGCTCCCAGGGTGCGTCTGCTGGAACCTCAGGATGCTCTCCTCGATGATCGGCGGCGCGCCCAGGGGGGGAGGGGGAGGAGGAGGAGGAGGAGGAGGAGGAGGAGGAGGAGGAGGAGGAGGAGGAGGAGGAGGAGGAGGAGGAGGAGGAGGAGGAGGAGGAGGGAGGAGGAGGAGGAGGAGGAGGAGGAGAGGAGGAGGAGGAGGAGGAAGGAGGAGGAGAGGAGGAGGAGGAGGAGGAGGAGGAGGAGGAGGAGGAGGAGAGGAAAAAGGAGGAGGAGGAGGAGGAGGTGGAGGAGGAGGAGGAGAAGGAGGAGGAGGGGAGGAGAAGGGAGGAGGGGAAGAGGAGGAGGAGGAAGGAGGGAGGAGGAGGAGGAGGAAAGGAGGAGGAGGAGGGGGAGGAGGAGGAAGGAGGAGGAGGAGAAAAAGGAGGAGGAGGAGGAGGAGGAGGAGGAGGGAGGACGAGGAGGAGGAGGAGGGAGGAGGCGGGAGGAGGGAGGAGGAGGAGGAGGAGGAGGAGGAGGAGGTGGAGCAGGAGGAGGAGAAGACCCGAGGCCTAAGCCCTGCCCCCTGGGCGCGCCGCCGAGATGTAGTCGACAGACTTGTGTATCCACTCCTTCTCCGACGAGGCCAGCAGGCGCTCGATGCCCATGGCGGCCGGCAGGCAGGGCCGAGCGGCTCTCGCAGAGGCCTCCCAGATGAGGCTTCCCAGAGCCTGCGAGAAAGGAACCCAGGCCCGCCCCCGCGTTGTAAAAAGACCGCGACGGAAGGTGTTGTCCCTATGTTCGGCCTCCATGGGGCCTTCAGCGGGCCCCGGGACCGTCCAAAAACGACTCTGGATGAAAAACGGGGCCCGGGGAAGGGGTCCAGACCTCTGGGGGTGTCCCCGTGGAGTGAGAGGCCTCCCAGATGGGGTCGAAGGACCGCGCCGCATCGCCGATGCATCACCGATGCATCGGCGACGACGGTGTGGGGAAGCACGGGCTCCACATCGAGCCGCATCGTCGATGCATCGGCGATGCGGCGCGATCCTCCGACCCCATCCACTCGGGCCCCACGCGGGAGGCCTAGATCTCGACCCCAGGGAGCGGAGCGCGGGCGAAGAAGGAGGATGAGGAGGAGGAGGAAGAGGAAGCGAAGGATGAGAAGGAGGAGGAGGAAGAGGAGGAGGCGGAGGAGGAGGAAGCGACGGGTGAGGGGGAGGAGGAGAGAGAGGAGGAGGGGAGGAGGAGGAGGAGGAGGAGGAGGAGGAGGACGCGACGGATGAGGAGGAGGAGGAGGAGGAAGAGAGGGAGGAGGACAACTTGAGCCAGAGGCCACGGGCGTGCACAGCTCCCCCCTGCAGGCCACGGCGCTGAACACGAGACGCCGCGGCCGCCGGTGCTCCCCCCCCAAGAGTGCGGCGCACGGGCTCCGCCGCAGCTCCTGGCCAGGCACTACTCATGGGGCCCAGGGACGCACACATAAATAGACACAAATCCCAGGAGCCTCCTTCTCATCCGCCTCCTCCTCCTCCTCCTCCTCCTCCTCTTCCTCCTCCTCCTCCTCCTTATCCGTCGCTTCCGCCTCCTCCCCCTCCTCCTCCTCTTCCTCCTCCTCCTCCTTCTCCTCCTCCTCCTCCTTTCCCTCCTGGTCGTCGTCGATGTCTTCCAGGGTCGGCTGCACGGGCCGTCAGGCCTTCACACTAAATAGACACAAATCCCAGTAGTCCCCATATTTTCCCATAGTTTCTTCCTCCCCCACACTTCCAATGTTTTCCCATGTGTTCCTGGGAATCTGCGATTCACTGTGTCCGTGCGATTTCTTCCGCTCCTGAGCTAAGGAGGGCTGGCGGAGCGGTGCGCCTGCGACGGCGGCGGCTGCGGCGAGGGGACGGCGGCGACCGGGACCGGCGGACTCCGAGGAGAGCAGCACTGCGGCCGCCGTGCGACCGCAAGTGGAGCCAAACAGAGCACGAAGGCGCCTCCGTGGCCTGGTTCTCTCCTCCTCCACCTCCTTTTCCTCCTTTTCTCCTCCTCCTCCTCCTCCTCCTCCTCCTCCTCCTCCTCCTCCTCCACCGCCTCCTCCGCCTCCTCCTCCTCCTCCGCCTCCTCCACCTCCTCCTCCTCCTCCTCCTCCTCCTCCACCGCCTCCTCCTCACCATCATCGCCCCCGCTGTCCTCACCGAGCTCCAAGTGGTCCGTATGGCGGCGTCTGGGCAGCACGGGCAGGCACACCTTCACGAGCGAGCCACGCGCAACACGAAACACCAGACCGACCACGACTTCCTGGCGCGGGTGGGCTCCCGATGCTCCGCCTAGGCTTGCGGGACCCCCACAGCCTCCAACCACGCGGTGCCACAACATGAGAGAAAGCGCCGGACATTCGGCGGTATGCTTGTTCTGATCCGCGGCTCTGGAAAGTACGACTGCTTCGCTTGGGTATGTGTTTCCTCCCGGAGCCAACTTTCATGGTCCTGGGGCCCGAAAACGGACCTCGGCGTCTGACATCGGAACATGATGGGTCTGTTTTCCACCAACACCATCATAAGTTGGAGGGGGAGGGGGTCCTCCTCCTCCTCCTCCTCCTCCTTCTCCTCCTCCTCCTCCTCCTCCTCCTCCTCCTCCCCCTTCCCCCATCCAACTTCTTGTGGTGGTGCTGGTGGTGGAAAACAGGCCCATCAGAACAAAAAACACCGCTGAACAAAAAAAACCTCGTTGTAGACATACGGCACACACTTCTGCGCGGCACGACCCCCCTCCTCCCCCCAGCTTGGACGCCGCTGCTGGGCGGGCGGCCCCCTGTTCCGTCCGCGGCCACACCGACGGCGAGCACTTCAAAGTGGGCAGGAACGGCTGTTCGTCGTAGTCACCATCATGTGGGGCACTGGCGGGAGTGGGTTTAGTCGTTCCGATTCGACGCCGGTCCGATTCCGATGTTGAGCTCTCGGCCCAGGATCGCGGCCGCTGGCGCCGCTGGAGGCGCCGCGCCTGGGGCGGTCTTCCCGCGCGCCGCCGCGGAACGCGACGAGACGACGCACAGGGACCTGGTTGAAGATGGGGACGCCCTCCCCGCTCCATCTGCCGTCGCCCGAAGAAGCCCCAGCTGCGGCAGACTCGGTCTCGTGGTTCCTGCTCGTTCCTGGGACCTCGAAGGCCCCATCGCTGAACTGCTCCCCCTTCCCTGGGGTCCTGTGAGGGGTAACGTTGGGGGGGACTGGCGTTAAGTCGGGCCTGTCCTCCTACAGGAAGGCGGTTCAAAAGTAGTCACAAGCTAGTCTGGGGACGGTGTTTTGACTATTCTCGACTATTGCGGAATATGTTTTGACCAGTTTTTGACTTCCGCCCAGAATCCCCCTGTAGGAGGACAGGCCCGACTTAAGACTGGCGGAGGGCTGGAATATCTAGGGCTCCCAACTTCGCGCTTCGCGCTGCGCGAAGCGCGAAGCGCGAATAACTTCGCGCTCTCGCGCCGCCCCCCAAGGGGGAGAAGAGGAGGACGAGGAGGAGGGGGAGGAGGAAGGAGGACGGCGAAGCGCGAAGCGCGAATAACTTCGCGCCCTCGTGGGAGCCCTTGGAATATCGACCTGGAATCAGCGATGCATCGCCACTGGATCGGCGAGCGGCCCCCGAGAGCGCGGGCGGGGTCGGGCTCTTGGACCCCCACCGGCGATCCGTGGGCGATTGGGGGTCGGGGCACTCTCCTAGGGCTCCCAACTTCGCGCTTCGCGCTGCGCGAAGCGCGAAGCGCGAATAACTTCGCGCTCTCGCGCCGCCCTCCCAAAGGGAGAATAGGAGGACGAGGAGGAGGGGGAGAAGGAACGAGGACCGCGAAGCGCGAAGCGCGAATAACTTCGCGCCCTCGTGGGAGCCCTTGGTGAAGAGGGGGCCAGAGACACACAAACAGATGGACACAGGTCCAAGGATCCCCCACGCTTCCGATGTGCTCTGCACGCTCGTCTTCCCCTCCGCCTCCCGCATGCTTCACACTCTCCTGGGGATCGGCGGCTGTTCTGCCTGCGCTTCTGCCCCTGGGTGTGGCCGCGATGCCGCCGCGCGCCCACTGCCTGGGTGGTGGAGCCCTGGCCAGCCGCCCATGGCGCCGCTTCAAGGCGGTGCACTTCGCCCTGTGAGCGCCATCCGTCTCCCCTGGGTCGGACATGTCCTCCTGCAAGCGGATGTTGGACGAAAACACATGCCACATTCATCCGTCAACGCTTCCCCCTCCCCCCAATGTTCAGAGTTGGCGATGGGTTTGATGAGATGCACTTCGACCGCAGTCTCCCCCGCGCGTGCCAACGTTGAGTTTGGGGGGGAGAGGGAATGTTCAGTAATTGTTTCCCTCTACCGTAGTCCAAAAACCTGATCGGACAAGAACGGGAAGCGCCGCTGTAGTCTCATGGGCGTATTGGGCAAAGAAGAAAAGGAAGGCGAGGGCAAGGAGGAATCGATGACGAGGACGGTGTGGCGAACGTGAGGATAGCGAGGGGGAGCCTGAGGACAAGGAGGAGGAAAAATGAAACATAGTCCAAAAATCCGCCGGCCCCCTTGCGGGGCCATCAGGCTGCGAAGATCAGGCTTGCAGCTCCCTGTGCCAGCTGCAGTTTTCAGCTTCCACTGTTGCAGTCCTGCTTTCTGCTTCATGACTGCTGATTGTTGCTGAACGCGCGAGGGTGGGGAGCCGAAAAGCGTCCTGGTTAGCGTCCCCGAATCGCGTTGTCTGAATTCCCGGGGGGTCGTGGGACACGTATATACATATATAAGATTCGCATCCCCGAGGTCGTGCTCCCTAGTATAATTCACAATATTCGCGTCCCTGGGGCCATTAAACCTTTGCAGATTGCGCAGTAGTTGCGCCCCTGAGGCCATAAGCCCACGTAAAGTATGAAAGATCTGCGTCCCCGAAGCCACACACCCTCGTAATCTACGCAAGGTTCGCGTCCCCGAAGCCGTAAACCATGGTAAAGTACACAATATTCGCGTCACCGGAGCCATGAACCCTTGTAAATTAATATTAGCCCTCGCGTGGAGTCTCCCCCTCCTTTCTCCGCGGCCGCCCATATGCTCCTTTCTTCCCCCCTTACCGCCAGACAATTAGCGCTTGCCCTCTCCCCGCCGCTCGAGCGCGCGCGCGGACTGCCTCTGCCGCGCTGCGACGTAAAAAGATGTATGTTCCCTCTTGATCTGGGCCTGTTTCCCCATATCCTTTGCTGCATATCCGAATTATCTCCGTCACCCATTCGACCGCACCGACCCATCCTCGGGGATATTCTGATCGGGGTCAATGCAAGCCCGGGTAAGTCAGGCCTTTTCAGGATCCTGCGAGATTCTGCAGGATCCTGCAGGATCCTGCACCCAAGCTCGAGTCAGCGCGGCCCAAACCCTGCAAGATCCTGCAAGATCTGGCGCTCTGGCTGACCCCCGTTTGCTGTGACCTCCGTCTCTTGAGCCCAGACAGCCCATGGGCATCCGACACCCGGAGATGCAGGATGCGCAAAACCCTCGGGCTCGGGGACCTCGGGCCGAGCCCGCGGGGGCCGCCAGGTAACCGACGAGACCCAGCATTAAGTTTGACGCTGGCCCTCGCTGCAGACATCCCACGGAAAACTGAACCGTCCTGACGAGTAGTAGGAGGAGGAGGAGGAGGAGGAGGAGGAGGAGGAGGAGAACCAATGTAAACGCAAAACTCATCAACGATGTTGGAATAGACACTCCCTCCAAACTCCCTCCTCAGAAGCCCCATACCAAGGTACATTCCCACGGAGGGAATTGTACCGTACAGCCGTGTGAAAATCATTGAA